GAGTCTTCCTCCAATCCTGATGCCACATTTTTCTTCATAGAACCCAGCTTCTCGTAATATTTGCTCAGCATACAGGTTGAATAAGTATGGTGAAAGAATACAACCTTGTCGCACACCTTTCCCAATTTTAAAGCAGAGACATATCTAATCCACAAGTAGACTGCAGAACGTTCATGAGAGAATAGAAGTAAAAGATGAGGGGGTTTTCCCATGAACTTTTTGAAGCCCCCTTGTGTATTTTCTTACCATCCTAAAACAGTTGAAACTTTCTTTTGGAGCTCTTCAGACTGCCCCAGTAAGTGTGTTCGTAGGATTTAATCTGAAGAAGTGGATGCTCTCTGTACAGAGGCTGTCTGTGAGGACGTGACCTGTCACTGAATACAGCATGAGTGCTCAGTTGTAAGATCACTCACTGGTCGGTGATACTACGGCCAAACCGTGGGATGTTCTGCAACCAGTTTTGTAAAGAAGGAGAAGTACTCAACATATAAAGTTGATGTAAACCATTGCAGGAGAATCATAGGATTTAGCATCAGGTAGGCATTAGACGTCATGTGACAGGAGAATCATAGGATGTAGCGTCAGTTAGGCATAAGAGATCATGTGTTCTTTTCCTGCACAGCACTAACAGTGTAGCCCCTGGGTGGTGGGCTTCAAAGGGGTTTCGTCATGCGTTTTTAGAATTTCCAAAATTATACACGTAGTGTGTGCGCATTCCTTTGGTCTTTCAAGTGCCATTTTGACACTGAGCAAACGACAGTTTCATTTCGTCACCGTCTGGTTTCATTTCGGTGCAGGTGCCGGGCTGAGTGGACGGCAGGTGCACAGGACACAGGCCGTCTTCAACCATACCGAGGACTACGTGCTACTGCCCGATGAGAGGACCATCAGCCTCTGCTGCTGGGACTCGCGCACGGCCGAGCGCCGGAACCTGCTCTCACTGGGCCACAACAACATCGTGCGCTGCATCGTGCATTCACCCACCAACCCGGGCTTCATGACCTGCAGTGACGACTTCCGGGCACGCTTCTGGTACCGCAGGTCCACCACTGACTGAGCAGGCCTCTGCCCCCGGCCCTGACTGTAAGTCCTTCTTGGATTTGTACAAAAGAACCTTTTTTGACCTTGATGTCGAATCATGGTGGAAAAAGCTGGAAAGCAGGTCTGTGCAGTTGCTCCACGCTCACTGATTATTACAGTGTGATTTGCACCGGTTTTGTAAATCCAGAACTTGTCACTTCTCCTGAATCTCGTAGTCGTTCGAAGAAGGAGAGAGTGTTGAAGTGCTCTCTAGATCTCAGATGGCTCGGTCGTGGAGAACTGACATGTGGTCGTTTAGTCAGCTGGCGTGTCTTTTCTGCTACGCCCTCTCTGTATATTTATTCCCTTTCCAAATACATCTTGGCAGGTGAATCATCCTGAAGCTCTGAGAATCAAGAGTTTTGTGCCATATTGATTCCATGTGAGAAAATACACCTATCCTAAAAATGACATCATTCTGATAATAAAAGCTCAGATCTGCAACTTTAGTCTTAACATATTTTCTTACTTCGATAAAATTAGCAACCGGTTGTTTCCTGGAGATTTCTAGGGAAATCTTTCATCACCTGCCACATTACCCCTTCACTACGTGCAGTGCTTGTCTTCAGTAAATGTATTTCTGGTCAGACTGTAAAGATCTGATGAGGAACAGAAGAGAAACTTCATCTACCCAACGCTCATCCAAATGAGATGGTCTTTCAATTGCTCAGTGTTGCTCATCCTCACAAACATGATTACTGTTGGCTGGCCTTGTTCTTAGGGAATTTTACAGTTTGTTTTCAGTTCCCTTTAGCAGGAGCTATAAGTTCCCATCACTGCCACGCATGGTATCCACAGCCTCAGAAGCTGGATGTGGTGAACCAGTGGAACATTTTCTTTTCTCTTTAAATTTTTCAGAAGGTGACGATACTAGGCTTTCAACTCCATCTAGGGTTGAAAAATCCAGAACTCCTTATTAAAAGCATGGGTGGTATATTCACCTCCCCCCATCTCCCCAATAAAAAAACAGATACCTCATGATCCTGGGTCAGAGTACCTAGAAATAGAATCTGGCTTAATTTAATAAAAATAGTAAATGGATCGAAGTGAAATAGTTACTGCATAAATACTCTGTGCTTTAGTTACATCAGGCGTGCTTACTATGGTGTGACATCCCAGCGCTCAAGTTTGCAAGGTGAGTTTGATTTTATAGTTTTATTTTGCATCCCAGTCCTCCACAATATAAACGTAGCCGTCTGTGGGTGCTACTTATAGTAAAATAAAACAAGACTGTTTTTAAATGACTGAATAGGAACAGGAATAATCAGTTCTGTCTACCACCCCCTCCAAGAAAATCACCAGCCAAAACTCCCCACTTCCTTTCCTGCCTTTTCTTTTGCTTTCAACTTAGGAAACTGAAGTGGAAGTTTGACCTTTACGTCTTGTTCCGCTCTGGCACGTGTACTGGAATGACTACACTGCACTTCTGATCTCAGTGCTGTTGGTTCTGTTTAATCACAGATGCCTGAAAACAATAATGCCTGTTTTTTACAGTCGGAGCAGCCTCAGCAACGGGGGTGTGGTCTCAGGGTTTCTGTTTACAAGATCAAGGTACTTTGGTGTATCCCAAACACTCTGGTTTTTTCCTTTTAAAACCCCATTGCTGTTTTGAGCAGATGTAAATGCCACGAGTCTGATTAGGACTTGTTTCAACGCCGCATTCACCACAAAGTGTTGTGGCGTTCACATGCTAAATACTATCCAGGTAGGATATGAACTTATAACTAATATGTTTCTTAAAAGAGATGTGATTTCTAAAATAAACATTTATATATATTTAAAGCCAGTCCATTTTTTTAAAGCTTGCCTTTGATGTCTCCATGTGTGGACAGCAGTTTTTACACAACACTTGTGACCCTAGACATATACTCATGGTGTTGGTTAGTGCTTTGCACTGTTGTGTGCCATCGAGTCACTTCAGATTCATAGTGACCCTGTTTAGGGTTCCCGAGAGCAGCTGGTGGGTTTGAACCACCAACCTGTCAGTGTGCAGGCCAGTGCTTGCCGTGCAGTGCCACACCAGGGCTCAGTGCTTGGTGCTAGGAGTCAGATTTTTGTAGTGTAATGGTTTCTGCACTCTGAATTTAAAGAGTTTGAGCAGGCTTCTTTGGATGACACCGAGACAGCCAACCCTCTCTTTTAGGAAGGGTTGTGTCAAGGGAGACAGTATTTCTCTTCTGGACTACAGCTCTCTTGCCACAGAAACAACCGCCCAAAATGCCCACCAACCAGTGAATCTCCTTTCCTCTAAGCACACCGTGCTGTAGTGTCCTGCTAAGCACACAGTCAACAGTTCAAACCCACCAGCTGCTCCGTGAGAAAGAGATGAGCCATTCTGCTGCCGCATGGGTTCACAGCCTTAGAAACTGCACGCAGGGGCATTGTGGGTCGGAACCGACTCGCTGACAGAGGGTGAGCTCTAACAGACCTGAGGGAGGAAGGAAGGGATTTACATTCATGGGGGAGACTTGTGTTCCTCACAATATGGCAGAGAAGGTACTCTGAGAATCCTCTCAGTATGAACCTGGAACGTGTGTTGGTAAATTTAGTCGGCATACTTAATTCAGCGGGAAAATGTCAATATGAAGTGTAATTGAGTTAGTTCCAATTCGGTGATCCTGGAGAGTGTTTCTTAGGAGCGACTGGTGGATTTGAACCGCCAGCTTTTTAGTTAGTAATCCAGTGCTTATCCTATAGCAATACACCAGGACTCCAAAAACTTTAAAAGAAAGATAACATTTTTAAGCCACTTTGAAAGCCACCTCTATAAAAGTGATTGTTTTCTGGGAACAATATACTAGAGATCACTTAACCTGAGGCCACCTGTGTGATGAAGCTCTGTGTCCCACCCCTACAACAAGTGGCCTTGAAAGTTAGGGTACAAGTTCCACAAGGAGAAGGAGTTTGTATTGGTTCCACTTAACAGAGGAGAAAACCTCAACCTGGTTATGAGACCAACCACCAAACAGCAAACTTCATTGACTGGCTCAGGAGATGAGTAGCAGATGATTCCGGTGCGAATTACTGGTAGGCCGCAGAAATGTGACCAATAGTCGGTATCAGCTGGAGGGTTCACTGACGTCGTAGGGGTAATGGGGCACAGCGTCTCACTGCCGTGAGAACGAGTCTAGTCGGGTTAGAGTCCAAGCAACCAACTCTAAATTACACGTGCCTTCATGACAAACTTCCCACCACGTGCGCAGAGCGTTTCATTTTTAAACAGGTGACTCTACAATATTACAGAGTAGCTAGCTATATTATACATGTAAGGGACCCTGGTGGCGCTGTAGGATAAGTATTGGACTGCTAACCACAAGGTTCACGGAAGAAAGATGTAACTATCTGCCCCGGTGAAGATTTCCAGTCTCGGAAACCCTGTAAAGGGTCGCTGTGAGACAGAAACAACTCGATGGTGGTGGTGGGGTTTGGGTTTGGTACAAGCTCAAAGTGCATTCTATACTGTTTATTTTGTTTTGTTTTTAAGAAACTTACACTGTGGTTAAGACTAATATCTTGCCTCTTGAAAAAGCCCAAAATTTTGTCACAGAGATAGACTCAACCGCTCCAATTGTTAAGGGCTACTGTTAGTTAGAATTGACTCAGCGGCACTTAACAACCACATATACCTGTCTGTCTCTTGGCTAAAAATTGAGCATTCCAGACCTGAAGGGTAAACCAAGGACCATAGTATCGGCATTCTACCAGTCTACCTGGCTAGTAAATCTGATCTTTTTCATGACTCTGAAGTTTGTTCCACATTTTCTCTTATTCGCTCCAGGACCTTCTGTTTTGATCCTTTTCAGGGCAGCGGGTAGTACCCCAGCTCTATCTAGTTCTGGTCTGAGCGTCTGTGGTTCTTTAGTCCATGGACCAGTCATTTCAAAGTACCTTCCATTTCCATCCCTCTTCTTTGTTCCTGGTTGGGGGAGACCAGTAGGTGCACCTTAGATGGCCACTGAAGATGTTTTTGGCATTCCTGCTCACTAAAGTAGGATGTAGAACACTGTCTTTATGGGCTGCATTATACCAATGGTCATCTTTGAACCAGTGGATTTTTCACCACTGTCTGTCTGCTCACATCGTGTCTACTCGCTGGGACATCATTGTCTGTTCCTGCTTTACTTCTCCTCCACACAAACCTTCATCCTCTTTCTCCAGCTCTGTCCCCTTTGGACACCCACAGCGTTTCCCTCCACCCTTTGTATTTTCAGTTTTTTCTCTCAGCCCTGTTCCCTCCTTTCAAGCTTTTGATCAAATTCTGGGCTATAAAGCCACGTAGTCACTAACTACAACAGGACTGTAGAATCCCACCTCTCCCCCGTGTTAGTCCTGAATGGAGTTATGTACATGCTTGTTGGTCAGTTTGACCAAAAGAGCCCTTTGGATGAACTCTCTTTATACAGTTAAACTCTGCCTGCTCATTCCAGACCATTTTAATGTCATGTTGTTGTTGTTGTTAGATACTGTTGAGTCACTTTGGACTCAGAGTGACCCTATCTCTGCACAACAGAATGAAACACTGCCTGGTCCTGCACCATCCTCATAAGTGTTGGTGTCCTTGAGTCCACTGCTGCGGACACTTGGTAGGGAGCTTCCTCTTTGTCACAAATCCGCCACTTAACCACACATGATGTCCTTCTCTAGGGTCTTACTGTTGGTATGTACTGTCAAGTCGGTTCCTACTCATAGCCACCCCGTTTTAGAGTTTCCAAGGAGCGGTTGGTGAGTTTGAACCAATGACCTTGCAGTTCAAACCGACCTTGCAAACTGCTTATCCTACAGCGTCACACCAGGATTCTCCTACTAACATATCCGAAATATGAGTGACAAAGTCTCACCATCCTGGCTTCTAAGGAGCATTCTGTCTGTCCTTCTTCCAACACAGATCTGTTTGTTCTTCTGGCAGTCCATGGTACTTTGAATATTCTTCTCCAACACCATAGCTCAAATGCATCAATTCTTCTACGGTTTTCCTTATT